TTTTTTTACTGTTCATTGAATATTTTCAGTGTATGTTGCGTTTATAATCATTACATTTCAGTATATTTTCAGTGTATGTTGTGTTTATAGTCATTCTGTTTTTCATAGCGAAACAACATAAACTGTAAATATGATGAGTTATGTTGTAAATAAAAATGTAACAAAAAACTTTAATATAAATATAAAAACAACATAAACTGATTATATATATCAAATAAACTGTAAATTTGCATCAAATAAACATTGAAACAGATCCGATCGAAATTATCCGCATGCCTACTACTCGAAAACTCCACCACCAAAGGCGGCCGACCAGGATTCCGAATCATATATTGTATATATACTATACAACTCGGGGGGACGCGAGTCATATACTGTACATATATTGTACATATACCGCACATATACTCCAATTCAATGTCTACGAATTTCAACGTAATGACTAATCTACACAGTCCAAAACCCTAAAAAATCGAAGCAAAATTCAATTTTCCTGCAACCAACCAATCATCTCCCCCGATCGTGGCGACACCGAAACCCTTTTTAGAGGACGCCATCACCGGCGGTAATTGAGGAAATCATCCTCCGAACTCTTCTCTCTCGTCGACTCCATGGAAAAAGACTCTCGGATCGCCTACCTGTAGATGACGACCGCGGGGATGGCTCGGTAGACGATCTCGTCGAGGGAGTAGGACTCGATGGAGGATGGCGTTGAAGGGAACGTACTTGGCGGAGAAGTCATGGGACGAGGCATGGCGGCGGGACTTGTGTGAAGAAGATAGAGAGAGGGCCGTGTGTGAAGAAGAGAGAGCGGAGGGAGGGGAGAGGTGAAAGGCGTAATTGATGGGAAGTTACCATGTAAATAGGATATCAGTTTTTGATAACCGATAGAGTTTCATTAATTCCTCCATTATCTAGTAGCAATACCATAAATATGAAAAACATATTTTTAGGCATATATGCAAATAAATTTAACAAATTTAGTTAATTTATAGATATTTATATAGAGGATGTAATTATGTAATATCTTCAGATTGTTTAAGTGGAGCGTGCAAATTCCTCTACGATGTATGTACCAGAATGGAACACTGTTGGATGTTTATTGTTAACATTTTCTTAAATATTACGTCTACTCTAATTTATGTCTTAAAAAAGTTTTTGCAATTTATTTCTCTCAAAACATACTTAACTAGTCCATTAGTTCTCAAATAACTCCGTAGCAAATTTACATCTGGCGGCTTGAAACCAGTGTGGGCAGTCCCCACTAGTAGGATTGAATTAGCCATAGTGAAACAATGCTTGAAGCCCCCAGGGCATGTGGTGGAGTGGTCGCTGGGGGAGGTGAAAGTTCCTGTGATGCCAGAGGTCACGAGGTCGAACCTGACTATCGTGGAGTGTGGGGTTGGGGCTCTCTGCACTTCCTGGTGGATTAGTCCCGCCCTCTGGGGCGGAGCTCAGTGGTCTGCTAAGGGACACGGACCGAGAGGTGCCCCTTCTGTGGGGCCAGGGTCCAATGTGGCCTTGACTAGGGGTCGAAGCAACAGATGAACGTGGGGATACCACCAGTTGCCNATGATTGAAATTAAGGCAAGATCCCCAACCTATCATAATCAAAACTCTAAAATTGTGAAAGTTTACAAGGTTTACACGTGTGACCAACCAAATACATAAACCAAAAACCGAAAGTCTACCCAAAAGAGAAACATACCAATGGGTCTGCAATGAAAACAGATCAACATTGAATGTCTTCTTAGTTCCTCATAAATGAGCTAGAAGCCCCAACCTCACTGTTTTTCCAAACTAGTGCAGAGCCCGTGCGATGCACAGGGTGCACAATTTTAAGGCTATTTATCCAGGCTTATAATTATATACATAAATAAAGAAAAATGTACGGGATATATATAGTACGTGACCCGTGCGAGGCACGAGATATATTTGGGGAATATTATATTATAAGATGCAATATTAAATTAAAAGCTTTATAATACGTAAGAAAATTGTACAATAAGATAGTGTTAGACAAAGAAACAATCATATATTGGTAGAGTAGAATCAATATCTGTTAAGATTTAAAAAAAAAAAATATCTTGATATACGGAAATCAAATTATAGGTAGAGCCGTAGAGGAACAAATCAGATCAGATTTCCCATATAATTAGATAAGGTTTTTTGCACAAAGATAAGAAGGAATTTTAAATCTAGACAAACTATAAATATTAGATGTATTAATTTACGTAAATAAATATCTATATAAACAACCAAACCCTTCAATTTAGGCTTGACATCTGATTTATTTTTGATAAAATCAAGATTTATCTTCCGATCAAATCTGTCTTTTTTTTTTGTTTTACGTACATTTTTCTTTTGTACCGATTTTATGGGAAAAAACAATTAAATAAAAAGTAATTGGTGGAAATAGAATGCATTAACTTTGACTTTTCTTCCTACTAATTCTAGTAAATAGAATGGCTTTTTATATAAGTATAGATTCTCCTATGGTTACAAAAATAAGTGAAAATCAAAGGGAAGAAAGAAAAAAGAAAAAAGAGGAAAATTTTGGTCGTTTGTGCTTTTAGCGCTACACGCATTACAACTTCTCCCTTATTAGCTTTCAACTTGAAAAACTAATGTTCACACGACCTGAACTTCGAATTTTTCCCAAGTAGAAAAGATGAGATTGTGATCTCTCATGATAAGAACCCTAAAGCCTCAATAGTACCAACTATAACCAAACATGACGATACCACATAAAAACCAAACGAGACGATAACACACTATCAATAAAATGAGTCAACCGGATATATTAAGCCATTTTAAATCCTCCAAATGTTACACCTAAATCTGGCTCGAATCACATATATTCAGTAGGGTGAACAAATAGCCAGACTCGTTCCCAAACGACAAACAACAGATTCTCTTCATATCAAATTCAACAGCAAAAAATACTCATTCTTACATTCACTTAACATATTATAAGCAAATGGGTCCTAAAGAAGATACAAGAAGCTTTCGAACAATGTAAACTATTTCATATCCCGTCATCAGTCTCACATACTCATCATACATCCGAAGAATCATATTCATGACAATGGCATAACCGCTCTGTATTTCAACGCCAAACATGAAACTAGTTTTTCACAATAATCATTTCACAAGTAGAATCCAACATACACATATTGGTAATTGGTATCAACAAATGAAGCTAATTTACAAAGAAAGATTGATTTTTTTCCCCTCCCCTTACCTACGTCACATTATGTCGGTTTCTACAGTCGCTGGTTTCTACATTCGTGCGCCATAGAGGAGAATCTCTCACCGGCAAAGACGAACTGTAGCAAAAATCGAGCCTCTCCCGAAACTTTGCCTTGGGCGATTATAGCATAAATTATGTGAGAGATCTTATATTTGAAATCAACAAAAGAAAGACATCCTGTGTCGCGCGAGGGTCTTCAATTTTTTATGAGCTAACTAGTGGTTATCAACTAAAACAAACATACGGTGGAGTCATTGGTATCTACATTTATTGTGGCACCAAATGGCGGTAGATATAAAACTACTATGGCAAGATTCAAAATAAATTTTATGGTGAAACTACTATGGTAATTATATCTTATGCATATCAAAAATAAAATATATATTTTAGTTATTGAGGATTAATTCATATGAATGTTATACCTGAAGAACTTTGTATATACAACTATGTATTAACGCACGACCAGCGTTATGCCGTTGTTTCATGAGTTACAAATGGGAAAGGATTGAAAATATTTAATTTGTAAAGATAGAAACAGCTCAAAGACGAAGTACCTTGTATATGAGGAAGTGTTCAATAATATTTAATCGCTATGCATCTGTATGAATTGCAAATGCTCTTTTAACGATTTTTTTCGTAGTTCCTCGAACAATATCTCAAAGGTGTAGAACCATTCAAACAATTTGACAAATGTAGTGGAAAAAGTTTCAAAGTTGCATAAATATCAAAACAATTTGAGAAATCTAGTGAAAAAAGATTTAGGAACAGCCAAACAATTAGAGAAAACTAATAAAGTAAAAGGTGAATTGACAAAGAGCAGTCAATTCACTCTTCTGGGAGTGAAACGATTCTCTCATTGAGAGTGGGAAATTTTCGATTCTTCTTCGGGGAAGAAGGAGAGGGGTAGTTTTTAGTTGCCTGGGAGTAATGAGCGAGAGGGTTTGTGAGTGAGAGTTTTTTAGGGTTAGGGCTTTCTTGAGATTGTGCGATGGATCGAGATTCACCTGGGCCTACTAGATCACGGGAAGCGGCAGAAGAAGTGGGGGAAAGACCGTAATTTCTCGCTGTCAGCAAAAGAGAATGCGGATATTGAGTTGGGATCAGAGGATATTAAGGCTAGTGAGGAGGAATGTGGGCGAAGTTTGTTTGGGAAAGTGATTGGGGACAGACGGGCAAGCTTGTATGGGATTCGAAGAACCATGAGCATCATTTGGAGGGTTCAGAACCAGATTGAAGTAAGGGAACTTGGATCAAACTTTTTTCAGTTCATTTTTTGGAATAAGGAGGACCGTAGAAAGGTAGCTGCCGGACTTAACTGGATTTTCGAGAACCAGTACCTTATACTTCATGAATGGGTTACAGGTATGAATGCTAATCATCCTATTTTTGATGAGTTAAACATATGGGTGCAAGCTTTTGATGTTCCTCTGAATTGGCTGTGTACGGAAGTGGGGTTAAAACTGGGTAAACTTTTCAACTTAGTAAAGAATGTAGTGGTGGTGAAAACTGGGGGTCCTGAGGGTAGATTTTTGAGATTACTGGTATCCTTAAACTTGAAAGAACCCTTTCCTCGGTGTGCTAATATAAAGCTGGGAGATTAGAGAGTGACAGTGAGATTCAAGTATGAGAAACTAGTTAACTTATGCTTCTACTGTGGCTTCATCGGCCATATTGATAGAGGCTGTGAGAAGAAGATGAAAGATATCGAATGTAAAAAAGTGAATGAGGGGCAGTTTGGAGGATGGATGAAGGCAGGGGATTGGGGTCAGAATAGCAGGAATGGACAGAACTCAAACCACTCGGGAAATTCTCATGAAACTCCAACAGGCCAGGCAAATCATCAGTCTAATTCATCTGGGGTGGCCCAAAGAATGCAACCTGTGGCGACTCAACAATTGTTTGAAGAGGAAGCCAGTCGTACTGATGGGGGGGAGCCTATGTCCAGGTTATGTGTTTTCAGTCCTCAGGAACAACGGGAGCGGCAGGGTAGTAAAGCAAATCTTAGCCAGAAGAAAGATGCTCTGATAGTGCACAAACTTTTGGAGCAACATCAGATGGGTCAAGGGATGGAGATGGAGGAACAGAGACAAGTGGCAGTTATTGGGGTAGAAAAGACTTCAGAGGTGGAGTTCTCTACAGAGGCAATGGATGTGAGGGAGGAGGTTCAATTGAGAAATAATAGAACATGGAGGAGAGCCACTAGACAGAGAACAACACCTTTGAAATCAATTGAGGAAGAAGGGGAAGATCACAAGGGTAAAACAAAAAAGAGAGGCAGAAAGGCAGGGGTGTTAAAACAAAGCAATAAGACAGACCCAATGAATGAAGGGGGAAAGGGAAGAAACCTAAAGTTGCAGCAGATGAGGTGGGGGTAGCCAGCCTAGAGTGGCCCCAAAGTGACAAATGAGGGCTCTGGTGTGGAATTGTAGAGGGTTGGGTGGACCCTCTACAGTTTCTCAAATCAAGGAGGTAATTAAACTCCACCACCCCTGTTTTATTTTTTTGTTAGAAACAAAAAAATCGATGGCATTTACTAAGACTATATGTAGGAAGTTGGGGATGGAAGATAGATGGAAATTGGTGGAGCCAGTGGGGATAAGTGGTGGGTTGCTCTTAATGTGGAATTTGGAGGTGGAGATAAAGCAGGTGAAGTGTTCTGAGTTCAGTATTGGGGTTGAATTTAGGATGGAGGGGGAGGCTATGTGGGAGTGGTGTACTTTTGTCAATATGAACACTGACAAGAGGGTGAGAACTATGCAGTGGAATCAGTTGACAGAGGAGAAAAATGGTTGGGGAAGGAAGTGGTTACTAGTGGGAGATTGGAATGATATATGTTGGCAAGAAGAGAAGAAAGGGGGGAGATTGAGATCAGAGGCTAATATGCTGGGTTTCAGAGGGTTTGTGGACAGGATGGGAATGAAGAAGTTGGATATGATAGGTCAATCCTATACTTGGGGGAATAATAGGGAGGGAGAGGGGTTTGTGGAGGAGAGAATAGATAAGGCTTTTGCATCCTTTGATTGGCTAGTGAGCTATCCATCAGCCATTGTGCAGAGTATCTTTAAATCAGCTTCAGATCATTGCATGTTACTGGTTGTAACGCCCCGAATATTATTATATTATTAAGACGATTTTCACTGCTCGACTTTTAAGTGAAATTCATAATTTTAATAAATTCAAGATTTATGTCAATTATAAGAAAGTGCTCAATTAAGTTAGATTATTCTTAAGAATTTTCTAAGACAAGTCAAGACCAAGATCAATCCAATAAATTAAGTCCATTTTAATTTTTTGAATAATTTTATCCGAATGATTCTTTCGTTCCGAACCCTAGTCATCGAACCTTCAAATGATTTAACATTAGTAGTATAATGTAATAGCCCAGTTTCCATTATTGATAAAAGTGATAGTTTAGTTCCCAGTTTGAACTATTTCCTTTTATTAATATTGCTCGTCTTGAGTTTTGAGCCCAGTTATTTAGCTATTCAATCTCAGTTATTAATTCCGGTCCATTTATTTTAGCGATGGATTTTATTTAGTGGGATTAATTACCTCCAGTTGACGAATGTCGGAACCCAGTATGTTCCGATAAATCGTCTAAGTTAAGCCGTGTCCTGAGCCCAGTATGTTCGGTCGCGAGTCTTGCGCCTAGTTCGCGCATAGTCAAGTCTCGAGCCTAGTAATCCCGAGTCTTGATCAAGCCCCAGTCGTGCTTGTAGACTTACTTAGAATTTTTCTAAGTATAAGATTGATATTAATGAGCTTCAGAACCAAGTCTGTTCCTCGGCCAAGATAACCGCACCTAGTTCGTGTGTGGTGCCGAGTCTCCCGTTCCAAGTTTCGTTCGGGTCAAGCTCTTGGATATGGCCGAGCCCTAGTGGCATTTTTCTAAGTATAATGGCTCATGGGTCCAGCCATTACTTAGCCAAGAATCAAGCTGGTCCCTTGGTCCAAAAGAACCATGTGCACCGAGCCCTAGCAAACCGCGCCTAAGCCTTGCGCGTGGCCGTGCTTAAGCCCAAGTCTTGGCTTAATTATCACGGATTTTTCCTAAATATTTGAGGCAATAAGTCCAACATATAATGTGTCTGGAAGTGGTGAAAACCTCAGCACATAAGTGGCATTTTCAGCCCAAAGACCGCGCGCCTCGCAGTACCGCGCACTAGGTCGCGCCAAGCCCACGCGCGTATGGTTTTCGAGCCCAAAACATGAATTTTGCGGCCCAAGTCTTATAGCCCAAGATCATGTGAGTATTATGGAGTTTAAGAGGGGTCAAAGTTAGTCCAAGTCGCGGACAAGAGTGGACAAGCAAGTCAACAAGACACTAGCATGGAGCATTGTGAAGTGGAGCCTTATTTTAAGGAGAAAGGTGATGTCTTGTCCCCTCCACTCACCTCCAACCTGACCAAACATGTTCCCCACTCCATTTGCATGTCTTGGACGTCCCAAAGTCAGCAACCAAGCTCCTCAAGTCGTGGTCAAGAGTGGATAGCATGGTCAAAGTGCACTAGCATGAGAGATTGTGAGTGGAGCCTTAATTTAAGGAGAAAAGTGGTGTCTTGTCCCCTCCACTCACCCTCCTAGCCGACCAGCCATGTCTCCTCCCTTTTGGATGTCTTGGTCAGCCCAAATTCAGCATTCAAAGCCTCCAAACCGTTCAAGACAAGTCAAGGGGACACTAGTGTTGAGCTTTGTGAAGTGGCTCTCTAAATTAAGGAAAAGAGTGTTCCTTTGTCCCCTTCCACTCACCTCCACAAGACCAGACTTGTTCCCTCCACCATTTGGACGTCTTGGGCAGCTCAAGGTCAACAACAAGGTCCCCTAAAACGTGTAAGAATGTCCAAAGCCATTCCAAGACCACTCAAGGCTTGTCCCCTACCTAGGCGCGCGTGTGGGTGGACATGTCCCCTATTTTTGGGACCTCGGTCAAGGCACCAAGACCAGCATGTTCTCCACTATTTTTTTGACCACATTGGACAGTCTAAAGTCAGAATACCAAGCCCCCAAATCGTGGAGCATGTCTCAAGACAACACCAAGGCTTGTCCCTTGCCTAGGCGCGCGTGTAGAGGGGACATTGTGTTCCCTACCTCAAAGTCTTGGTCTTTTCCCTTGACCACGTTTAAAATCTCTCTCCCCAGCATTTTTCAAGCTCTTGGACACTTAGAGAACTCATAGTTTTGAGAGGAAGAGAGGGGAAAACCGAGAGCACCAACAAGGCCCATACCGCGCGCGTGAATGAGAAGGAATGAGAGTGACCGAGTTTCACCAAGTTCATTTCGTTTTCTCTTGAGACTTAGCACCTTCCATATGTTTGTTGGATTATTCTAAGTCTTTTGAGCTTAACAAACTAAGTCATTTCATCCTCCAAGTCGAGCCAAGTCCTAGGGCCGCAAGTTAGCACCGAGCAAGGCCTCCAACCACCATTTCGGTTTTGAGCAAGGTAAACTCGTGTTTTTCATTTTTCTCAGCTATAACATGATAAAATAGGAATTATCATGTAGGAAAATGAGTTCATGAGCATGCTTAAGGATGAGTTTCGAATTTTTGAAAGTTAAGCCCTTAAATTCGGATTTTCAAGTACAAGCATGATATAGCCGAGATTAATAGCTGAAAAATCCTCATAAATCATGTTTATAACATTGGTAAAAGATGGACATGTTTTAAGTTCAATGGTTCGGTCAAGTTGATTGTGAAATTGAGTTATTTTCACCTCCGAACCCAAGCCTATGTTCATGCGAGTTAAATGCCATTGTCCCAAGCCTAAAAGTCATGATTTTTGAGGTATAGTATTCGGCCTTAAGCAAATTTATGAGTTGAGAAAGTTCATTCGGTGACCTAGGGTCCGTACGAGCCATATCGGCCCTACCGGACTAAGTATAAACCCAAACCGAGGTCTTGTAGTTTATCTTGGTAGTTTTACATGTCTTATATCATGTTATGTTGGGTTGAGTCCATTTTCACCGAAAAAAGTAGCCGGAGGTCCGGCCAGTTAGCGAACCGGCTGGTTTAGCCGGCGGTTCGAGTTAGTTTTGGTTCGATAATTTCGGTCCGAGTTTTATTCCGAAATTTAAATATTTTTCCGAGCCTAATCAGTCAGTCCAAGAATAACAGTTAAATTTTCCGGACTTAGAATATTTTTAAGAAAAATCCCATAACAGTCTAAATACGTCCGGGTCAAACATCTAAGTCAAGCATATAAATTAATTAATTTGAGCACAATACTTAGCATATTTTTACTTATATGTTTATGTAGCCTAAGGAGAGTCGAGCCTCCGACCGCTACCTTACTTCGAGCACTTGCGTCAGTCCAGATATTTTCAGTTACCAGGTGGGAGCCTTTACAGGGCATTACATTGCGCATTTCAGTTATCCTGTATAAGGTACGCGAGTAAGTTATTTACCCGAACGGTCGAATTATTCCGTTTGTGGTCGAGATTAAGTTCTCCCAGGGTTTGGCGGCCGAGGGCCTTAATATCCCCCTGGTACCCGCAGATCGGGTTGTGCACACGAGCGGCCGAGGGCCGAGGGTCGACGGACCAAAGATTAAGAAAAGAAAAGAAAAGAAAGATTAAGTTCAGCTCATATATCGAAGTCCATGATATATTATTATTGATGTTGTCTAATTCAGTGCTGGCCAGAGTAAGGGTTAGACACTGGGTTCTACACCGTCTATAATAATTTTACCATGACTGAGGTATGTTCGAGATATTAAGTTCTCCCAGGGTTTGGCGGCCGAGGGCCTTAATATCCCCCTGGTACCCTCAGATCGGGTTGTGCATACGAGCGGCCGAGGGCCGAGGGTCGACGGACCAAAGTTAAAGTTTAAGAAAAGTTAAAGTTTACAGTACAGCTTGTTTATTTATATGCTGCTATTCAGTTTATGTTTACTGTTTAAGTTTATTATTACAGCTGCTAAGTTATGGTTTCAGTTAAGATTATTACAGTTTCAGTTTACCCACGAGCATGCAGATGTGCTCACACTCCCACAGTCTTTCTTATTTCAGGTATCGGAGTCCAGCATGTCGAGTGAGCAGACGTGGCATTTGTGGTCATGTGCAGAGGACATTTTTACACGCATTTTATGCCTTTATGTATTTATAAGTATGCGTGTGTTACATATGTTTTCAGTCTAAAGCTTCCGCTAGACTAAGTAGTGCGAGATTATCGGATTGTATGTATGTTTCACTATCGCCGTAGTGGCACGAGGGGTTGAATGTTTTATTCATGTCCGAAATAGTAAGTTAAGTAAGTTTAGTAGCATCCCGTAATTAAGTAAGTATTTTCGAAAATAAACTCGCACGACATTTCGAAAATAAAAAGCGAAAAATTTACTCTGATTTTTAAAAGTCAAAGCTAGTCAAGGCGGGGTGTTACACTGGTGGAGAGAGAAAAAGAGAAACCAAAGGTCAAGAGAAGATTCCAATTTGACAAGAGGTGGACCAAAGAGGAAGAAATAAGGGATAGGTTGCTGTCAGTGTGGGATAAGGAATTAGAGGGGACTCCAATGTGGAAGGTGAAAGAAAAAATCAAGCTATCCAGACTAGCATTGAGGAATTAGGACTGGCAAAAGAAATCTAATAGTAGGGAGCAGATTGAGAAGTTATCTCTGAGGTTAGAAAGTATGAGGGGATTAGGAGGTGATAAAGATTGGGAGGAGTGGGAATCTATTAGAAAGGAGTTGGATGCAGCATATCAGGCTGAGGAAGTGTATTAGCAGCAAAAGGCCAGAGTGCAATGGTTGAAAGATGGAGATTGCAATTCAAAATTTTTCCATGCCCATACCATCCAAAGGAGAAAGCAAAATGCCATTAGTAGACTGGTGGGGGAAGGTAACAGAGTGTTTAGCACTGAGAAGGAAATTGAGGAGCATATTCAAAACTTCTATGATAAGCTGTTCAAGTCTGAAAATTCAACAGCGGGGGATCTCTTACTCCAGCACATCCCCCAAACTATAACAGCCCAGATGAACAATGATCTAGTAGGCCCAGTGGATGAAGACATCATCAAGCAATCTCTTTTCAGCCTCAATCCTAACAAAGCTCCATGGGAGGATGGTATGTCAGCCCTTTTCTTTCAGCACTATTGGTATATTGTTAAGAAAGATTTGTGTCTTGATGTTAGTAGTTTTTTTTAGTCTGGAATGCTTTTAAAATCCTGGAATCATACTTTGATTACTCTTGTTCCTAAATGTGTGAAACCTGACTCCCTCAGACAATTCAGACCCATAAGCCTGTGTTCTGTATCTATAAAATTATTTCTAAGATTTTGGCTGATAGGTTGAAGGTGTGTCTTGATGAGTGTATTGATGTTGCTCAGTCAGCCTTTATTCCAGGGAGACAATTGATGGATAATGTGATTATAGCCCATGAAACTTTTCACTTTTTTAATAGGCATAGAACTGGGCAGAATTGTTTCATGGCATTAAAGTTAGATATGGAGAAGGCTTATGATAGAGTGGAATGGGGGTGTGTGAGGGATATTATGTTAAAAATGGGTTTTCATGGGAGGTTTGTGAAATGAATTCTTGTTTGTCTGTCTACTCCTTGCTTTTCTTTTAACAATAATGGGAGAGTGTGGGGTATGGTTAATCCTTCTAGGGGGTTGAGGCAAGGTGACCCAATATCCCCTTACCTCTTCTTGATAGTGTCTCAGGTTCTTTCAGCTGCCATTACCAATGAAGTGGGGTTGGGTAGATTTAAAGGTGTGAGGTTGGCTAGGGATTGTCCTACATTGACCCATCTCCTTTTTGCTGATGATTCCCTGGTTTTCTGTCATGCTACCACTGATCAGGCTCATCTGATAAATCAAATTTTGTGCCTCTATAAACTTTCACAGGGCAGAAGGTTAATCTCACTAAATCCTCCATTTTTTCAGTAAAAACACTTCTGAGGGAGTTAAGAGGAGTGTGTGTACCATTCTTGAGGGGATTAAAGTCCAGAATTCTACTAGGTATTTAGGACTCCCTTTGGGTATTGGGAAATCTAAACTTGAGACTTTCAATTTTGTTGTGGAGGCTGTGAGAAATAGGATAGTGAGCTGGAAGAATAAATTTTTGTCAGCTGTTGGGAAAGAAACATTAATTAAAGCTGTTCTAAATGCTTTGCCAGTGTTTGTGATGAGTTGTTTTCAGATTCCTAAGGGAACATGTAAAGTTGTGGCTAGCTTGTGTGCCAACTTTTGGTGGAGCAGAGGGGAAGATCAAGCCAAAGGCATGCATTGGAAAGCTTGGAAAGAACTAACTTTATCAAATGACATGGGTGGTCTGGGCTTCCAAGATATCAAATTGTTTAATCAAGCCCTAATGATCAAGCAACTCTGGAGGATATCAACACAGCCTAATCTGTTGGTGAGCAGGATCCTCAAAGGCAAATATTTTGCAAATCACTCAATCTTTGAGTGTAAGAAGAAACCCAACTCATCATGGCTTTGGAACTGTTGGTTGGGTGTCCTACCAGTATTGCAGCAAGGTCTAAAGGTAGAAATCAGAAATGGCAGGTCAACTAAACTCACATACTGGAACGGGTAGTGAATGGTCCAACTAAAATCAAGCAGGGAGCTGTGGGAACAGATATCTGGGTGGCTGATCTAATGGCAAATGGTGGGAGGAATTGGGATGAGAGGTTGGTGATGGGGTACTTTGAAGAAGCTGAATGTAGACAAGTATTGCAAATCAACACCCTTAACCCAGAGGCTGAAGATAAGTGGAGGTGGACCTTTGACACTAAAAGGCGGCACACTGTGGCAGCAACTTATGCTAAGCTGGTGGTGGAGAAATCCTTGATGATGGATAGAGCTGATAGTAGTAGGGCTGCTCAGAGGAGTAAAGAGGCCAGGAGGAGATGCTGGAATTTGAAAGTGCAGGGAAAGGTCAAACATTTCATCTGGAGAGCATTTATAGATACATTACCAACCTTGGCCAGTATTCAAAATAGAGGAATGGACATCGATGCTAGGTGCAGAGGGTGTGGTGAGGCAACAGAAACAGTGCAACATATTCTATTCCAATGCAGAAGGGCTCAGATGGTGTGGAAGATGTCTCCTGTGCAATAGGCAGACTTAGCTGGAGGAGAAGGAGAGTTTAAAGAGTAGTGGTGGTGGATTAGTACACTGAATCACACTGATGTGGCTGAGAAGAGAATCCAGCTTTCCACATACATCCTTTGGTGGCTGTGGAAAGCTAGAAATCTCTGGGTGTTTGAAAACTTGTGGAAACCGGAGAGGATGATTGTGAAGATGGCAGTTAGGGATTGAATGGACTTTGTAAGCTGCAGAGAAGCTGGGGATTGAAGGGCTGACAGGTTCTATGCTAGGTCTGAGGACAGTGGCTATGGATTTGTTATGCTTTCCTTTGTGATGTTGCTATGTTTGTGTAGTTTTTTTTCAGCTTTTGGTGGTGTGGTGATGTTGTATCTGTTGGATTTCAGCTCGTGTGGCTGCCTTCAGTGCATTTGATGTGTTGTTGTCTAGACCAGAGCATGTTCTGGTTCTCTCATTGTATCCCGTTTGTATGAACAATTTATTTTGTTATGAGATCTTCTATCGTTTGAAAAAAAAAAAAGATTGTCTCGATTCCTTAAATTAATGTATACTAAGTTGTTTGTATTCCCATGTGAGTTGTCTTTTTTCTCTTGTTGGGAGCTTTTGTTTTTTAGTGTCGTTCAAATATTTAGGTTCTCTTGTTGGGAGCTTTTGTTTTTTAGTGTCGTTCAATATTTAGGTTGGTTCTAGACTGTCTCGGACTTTTGTCTATTAGGTTACCCCTCCAACTAAATTTAGCTGAGTTGTTGATTTATTCGGTTGTTTGACTGTTTTCTAATCTGTAATTATGTGTTTTTCTTTAATTGAAGTCTATCGTTTGAAAATAAAATATTATAAAGGCAACCAAATAAATACAAGATTTAAAAAGATGATTTGTGTAACTCGGTAAAACATCTTCATTGTCCGAGATTGACTATAAATTTTATATGATTTTTATCGGTCGGATAATTTTTTTTAAGTACTTGACTCAATATTCCAACTCAAATTTAATTCAACTCAACTAATTTCAATATCTATACATACAAATAGAATAAGCATTTATCGGAAATTATAAAAAACTAAAAAAATCCGCCAATAATTAATGCATGCTATAATTAATAAGATTTTAAAATTGTGTTGCAACACAGAGAAATAAATTGTGGAAGCACGAATATAAAAACAAATATCTCCGGGGAACGTCCCACTACCCCTCAGAGCTCTTTCATTGATAAATCGGTTTGCGCGCACAAAGTACATCTTGGACTTACTCAACTCGGACTCCCTCCTAGCCTAGTCAACACTATACCTGATCCTATCAATTACTTCTCTAGCGACAAACACATGGACTTAAAAAATAGCTATGGATCCCTCTCAGCTGACAAAGTACTAAATCCCTAAGCACTAAAAGTGTATGTAAAAGAAATAGAAACTAAACGAACTCAGTTCTTCAACAATGTAAGAACGCTGAAGTGCTGAGACGAACAAAATAAAAAGAATAAAAAACTCTCAAATACTCAATATAATATGATGAATGATGAACTCGATTATTGCAGTA